CATAGTTGTTATGATCAGTTGTTCTTCTTTGTATGCCAGTACAGAGATTGTCTGGGAGTCAAAAAAATACCATAGTCCAGTAGCAAAGAACTGGGTGGTAGGCCAAATAGGCAGTAATTCTTTCATCCCTAATCAATTGTAGAGACAGGCTCTTAGAACTCAAAAGCCAAAAGCCAGCTACACCTATGGGACATCTCTGAAGAGTAATCGTTTCCTAAAGAAGCCTCTATACTAGTAATAAAGCTACCTGCTATAAGCAATTTATAAGAATCAATGCAGAAAACAAATTAAAAAATAGAAAATGAGAAAACATAGAAGCAAGATGCAGACAGGTATGATTCAACATACACAAATCAATAAATGAAATACACTGTATTAACAGAGTCAAGGGCAAAAACCATACAATCATCTCAATAGATGCAGAAAAAGCATTTGACAAAGTCCAAAATCCATTCATAATAGAAACCCTACAGAAAACTGGAATAGATGGTCTTTATCCCAATCTGATAAAAGCCATATATGACAGTCCAACAGCCAACATCATACTAAATGGTAAAAACCCCAAAAATTTCACTCTAAAATCAGGGACAAAACAAGGATGCCTACTATCCACCATCCTGTTCAATATAGTTCAGGAAACATTAGCCAGAACAGTTACACAATACAGAAATAAAAGGATAAAGATAGGAAAGGAAGAAGTTAAATTATCATTATTTGTGGATGACATGATGCTCTACATAGAAGACCCCCCAAAACTCCACCAAAAGACTTCTAGATTTAATAGCCAAATTCAGCAGCATAGCTGGATACAAAGTCAACATTCAAAAATCAGTAGTATGCTAGTATACAAATAAACTCCTGAGAGAGAAATTAGGGAAACCACACTTTCACAATAGTATCAAAAAAGTGTAATACTTAGGAATGAATCTAATGAAGGATGTAAAAGACCTTTAAACTGAAAAGCACAGTACTCTAAAGAAAGTTTGATGAGCGTTCAGAAAATGGAAAGCCCTTGATCTCTGGTAGGAAGAACAATATAGTTAAAATTGCCACACTTTAAAAATTATAATGCCAATTTAATGCAATCCCAATTAAAATACCAACACCATACCTCATAGAATTAGAGAAAAAATTTGTTTGGAACCAGAAGAGACCTAGAATAGCAAAATAATTCTGGGCAACAAAAGCAGGCCAGGGAGTATCACAATCCCTGACTTGCAGTTATACTGCAAAGCTACTGTGATAAAAACAGCATGATACTGGCAATGAAAGAGACCTGAGGATCAGTGGAACAGATTAGAAGGTGCAGAAATAACTCCAAACACACTCAGCCACCTTATCTTTGACCAGAGGGCCAAACACCTTCACTGGAAAAAAGATGGTCTCTTTAATAAATGGTTCTGGAAAAACTGGCTTTCCACATGCCCAAGATTAAAATCAGACCCATATCTCTCACCATGCACTAAATTAAAATAACAAATGAATCAAAGACCTAAATATCAAAACAGAAACCTTAAGTCTACTGGAAGATAGAATAGGAAGAACTCTTGAAGATACTGGTGTTGGTATAGGCTTTATGAAAAACCCCCAATCACACAAGAAATAATACAAAGAATCAACAACTGGGATCTCATCTTATTAAAGAGCTTTTGCTCAGCAAAAGAAATCACCAAGAGTGAAGAGACAACTCACAGAGTGGGAAAAGTTTTTTGCCAGCTGTTAATCAGACAGAGGGCTAACATTTAGAATATATAAAGAGCAACAAAACAACAAAACAACAACAACAACAACAAGTCATACCCCCCAAATCATGCCTATTCCAAAATGGGCATCTGAAATGAGTAGTCACTTCTTAGACATAGAAGTTTAAATGACAATTAAATATATGAAAAAAAATGTTCAACATCAATGGTCATTCAAGGGATACAAATAAAACAACACTGAGATTCCATTTCATCTCAGAAAGAATGGCTATTATCAAGAAATCAACTATTAACAAGTGCTGGCAGGGCTGTGGAGAAAAAGGAACCCTACTCCACTGTTGGTGAGAGTGTAGACTGGTACAACCACTGTGGAAATCAGTGTGGAGATTCCTCAAAAAACTTAAGGCTAGATGTTCCATTTGTCCTAGTTACTCCTTTTATTGATAGCTTCCCAAAAGAATTAAAAGCATTGTATCACAGCAATATATGCACATTCATGTTTACAGCAGCACAGTTTGTAATAGCTAAATCTTGGAAACAGCCCAGATACCCATTAGCTGATGAATGGATAAAGAAGATGTGATGTATTTATATAATGGAGTACTACACTACCATAAAGAAGGATAAACTTGAGACGTTTCTAAGTAAATGAGTGCACCTTGAGACCATACTCTTAAGTGAAGTAAATCGGACATACGTAATTAAATACTGCGTTGTCTGTCTGGTGTGAGAAACTGAAAATGTAAATAAGAACCAAAATATATAATAGATACTGGGAAATGGGAGGAAAAGATTCCAATGGAAATGTGATCTAGGGATGGGGAATGGGAAAAGAAAGAAGGGAAAAGGAAAAAAACGAGATTGGAAGGAAAAAATGGAGACAAAGGCTTTATAAATAATGAGGGCAAGAGAGGTGGAAGGGAGGGGAGAGGAATGGGAAAAAAGAATCAAGACATATCGTGTGTCAGTCCAAATTCCCTATGACGAATGTGATCATTGTGTATATCTAAACTGTACCAATAAAAGTAATGTAAAAAGGAGTCCATGTTTGTGGATGTGGAAACTATCATACTGAAATGGCAGTCTCCAGCAGATTAATCCATCATTTAAATGTAGTCCCCCTTGAGATATCAGTGAGCTTCTTTTGGTATAAATTGACAAGTTGGTCTTAAAATTTACATGGAAATACAAAGGCCCCAGAATAGCCAAGCATATTGGGAAAGAACAAAGTGACCAAGTCACATGGGGTGTGCCCACATGATGGGGTGCGGTGCCTGCTGCAATATGATGGAGCCAATAGATGCCAAGTAGAGAGAACAGGGCATAGGCTAGGCATGCTGTGATCCCGGCAAGACATACCAACAGAGAGAGACCAGCGAACAAGCCACATGTGGCATGATCTGTACGTAGGAAGAGTCCAGAGGGACAAATCCACCAAGACAGAAAGCAGTTGAGTGGCTGTCTGGGAGTTGAGTGGCGGGAGGTTAAGCAGGGTGGTGGGGGGAAAGGAGGGTAGGGGACAAAGGGAAATGGCTGTCTGTGGGTACAAGGTTGGCTGAGGCTCAGGCTGGGGAGTGGAATGGTTGCAAATAGGCATGAAGAATCTCCTTGGGACCATGGTCATGTTCTAAAATTGGATTATGGTGATGGTTGCACAAACTCTCTAAGTTACTAATCAAATTGTACACTTAAAATTGCATAAATTTTATGGGGCTGTAAATTATATCTGAGAAAAATTTGAAAAGAAACAAGTAAAAATCGCCTTTACTTCTGTGAATTCTTGCTCTTTCCAATGACTGTTGTAAGCCAGGAAAATGGGGCTGGAGCTGGGAGGAGGTGCACAGTCCTGCAGGAGTTAGACTCAGTGGTGGGAAAGTTGCCGCACACTTGGGATAAGGAGCGGTGCTGTGGGGAGGTAGGAGGGTGGGTGGCTCTTGTGCTCCAGACTGTCTTCTTGGAGGCATCAGTGAACAGAACCTCTTCCCGGCACTACCCCAAGGCAAAGATAGGGTGAGATGGCAAACATGAGGAGTCTGAGAATCATAACATAGATGGAAATTTTATGTTATTCAGCACCTTCCTGGAGTAAGAAGGATGAAAGAGTTCTGTTAATTGCGAGAAATAAATTCTCGGGGAGCACAAGGAATTGTTACGTGTCTGTGATGTGAGCACACTTAGCCACCTCATACTTATGGATCCACAGATACTCTTGTGTGTTTATCTGCATATTTGTGTATATATGTGCAAGCGTGTTTATGTCATCCACATGAATCGTCACACTTCAGCACACCCCTAACTACACACATGCTTTCATGTGTGCATACCCACCTACTACTGAGGCATCTCAACATCACTCCGTGTCCACCAGAGTGGAGGTTGTACCATCACAGGCTGTGGGATCCTCAGTGCTGGGAGAGCAGTGAATATTTGTAGCAGCGCAGTTGCTCATCATACTCATGCTTCTGTGTCCACCCCTTCATGGGTATGTTGCTCACCCCTGCCCCAAATACCTGTTAGCTGAACACTGTCCTCTGGGCATCTCTGGGAGACTGTACTAGCAGTCTCAGTCCTTTTAGGAGGTAGAAACTACACAGTGGGCTAAATGGGAGTAGAGCAAAGAATTATTAAACATGATATGAGACTAAGCTATGAGGATACCCTCCAGGCTTCTCGAGGCCGAGGGACAGAGCTCAGGCAGCACACATGGGTTACAGGCTCAGGCCTCACTGCGGAGGTAGCTCAGCCTCCTGCTCACTGAGAGGCTCACTGGGCTGGCCAGGCTGCTACTGTCTGCAGGACAAGCATGGCCGGCACTAGTGGAGTGGGTGTGCAGGGTAGGTGCTGTGGCTATAGGTGGGCCATGGAGAGGACTGCAGAGGGGGTCAGGGTGGTCAGGCAGGGCTGGCTTTCCTGTGAAGTGGGCCCCAGAAAAGTTATCACATTAAGCCTACAGGATTCCCAGCCAAGGCAAAGTTCGCCAGGCATCCTCATGCCATGCCCTGACTGGCATCCTGCTCTTCCCAGCCCTGTCAGAGGAGGCCCTGCCCCATGCACTCCCACTCCTGTACCTCTACCCAGCTTAACATGCCCACTTCAAAGGAGAAGGGCTTATGGAGCTCACTTTGCTATGGCAGGGCACATGTTGGTGTGCCCAGGGCAGCGTGTAAGTAGCAGCAGGAGAGGGGATCCTGGGTCCTTTGTGTGAAGAGAACTCTCCAGCTTGGGGAGAGAGCACTCACAATTGATCCCCAAAGATCTCTGGGCATGTGCAATTTATATTTTTTTCCCCCATCATAGGGCAAATCAAGACCCAGACCTGGAGACCTGATTGAGATTTTCCGAGTTGGCTATGAGCACTGGGCCATCTATGTGGAAGATGACTGTGTGGTCCATCTGGCTCCCCCGAGTAAGAGTGGATACCAAATTGAAATTAAAAAGACTTTTCTTTTATACAGTAAAAGAAAGTGCCACAAATTTTCCCTCAGAAGCCTCTGCCTTGCTTCAAACACACTTATCCCACTGTTATTACCACCGTTCTTACAACTCTGGAGTCCTCTTTCCTCTATGTTGAACTATTATGGCTGCCTTGATATCCTGAATCAATTAAAAATGTATCCCTTTCATGGTCATTTTGACTTTGGGGAAGAGGCAGAAGTCGCATGGTGCCAGAACCGGTGAATAAGGTGCATGAGGACGTTTTTATGAGCCCGCCTTTCCTTGGGATGGCACTTGGCAGCAACATTGACCATATTTCTGATCACATCTTACAAAGGCACGCAGAAAAAAGGATCTCCAGAGTTGCTTCAGAAAGGGGCAAGGATGATGGGATAAATGTGTTTGAAGTGAAGGGAAGCATTCTGACGGGGTTCATGGCAATGTGTCTTTTACTGTAATAAAAATATTAAATGCAATTGTTTACCTTACTTTTTGATTATTCATTGCATTTCTGAGATACCTTCAGGGTGTGGGGAGTAGGTACTTGTGTGTCACTTGTTTGCTGTTCCCAGATGTTGCTCCTGGCTTCCTCGTCACCTCTGTCACCTGCAATCCCACCCCGTCTTTCTGCTGTCCTACTGTGCCCCAGGCTGCTTCCCCTAAACTGCACACATACTCATTTTACTTCTCAGGGCAGCATAAGCACAAGGCTCAGACTGAACTCATGGTTGATCACTGGTGGGAATTTGATGGGAAGCAGGTGGTGATAATAGGGGAAGATTACAAAGGAGTGTGGAACAGTCTTCCTAAACTTGGAAACCCAGATCCCTTCTGTCAGTGGTTGCCTCCAGGGACAGCACAGGGCAGGAAGGAGAGCTACTGTGCTCTCTTTCGCCTTCTACATTTCATGTCCCACTGAATGGAACTACAGGAGGGGATAGCACCAAAGGCTTCTGGCGACATCTTGTTTGCAGCTGTCATCTTTTGTGCAGCCCCTGGCCTTTGACGTAGCCGCTCCTCTTGATGAACCTCTCTGTAGACTCAATTTCTCATCACCTGTTTTCTCAGCCCCATCTAATTTTTGTCCCTATTTCCTGTCTTAATTGAAGGATGTCAAAATTCATCCCCACTTCTTTCCAGGTTAAGTCTAAGAGCGTTGCTCTTGTAAAACCAAAGATAACTGTAACAGTTACGCCCCACATCAGATGTTCCCTTAACAATGGATTCTGCCATCTGTGCTCCCAAGTGTGGAATTGCTTGCTGCCAGCTTTTAGAAAATCAGATTTTCTTGAAAATCATCAGAACAAGGGAACATTTCTTGGTCTTGGATAACTTACACAGAGAAAGGCACACATATCAGCATAGTAGGAAACAGTCTTTACAAAAAACTGACATAATAATGGTAGAGATTTAGGGTTACAGTATAATGTTCCCATACATATAAACTGTATTAGTGAGTTTTTGTGTTGCCAGGACACTATATCCAACATCTGCAGCTTAGACAAGGAGAGGTTTAATTTGGCTCACAGTCTCAAGGATTCAGTGCATGGTCAGCTGGCACCAAGGCAGGAACATCATGGTGGAAGTATGTGGTGGGGTAAAGCTGTTCAGTTCATGACAGCCAGGAGGCAGAGAGGGGACCCATACCAGAGAGGAAGTGATGAAGGACTGCATATACCTAACTGATGTCCTGCCTGCTATGTGCCACCCAGATATACCCAGAAACATGCTTTAGGAATCTGCTTGGCATTCTTTTACATTATTACTATGGCTATTATTGTTGTTGTCATTATTATTGTTATTATTATTGCTGAACATCAAACCTATGGGCCACTGAGCTAAATCCCCAACCCTGCTAGGCATTTCTCAATCCAACAAAGTTGATAGATGAAGATTAATGGGCACATATTCAACATGTAATGATCACATTGGAGTAAATAGTATACACCTCATCTCAAATATTTATTATTTCTTTTTGGTGATTCTCTTCTAGCTGGTTTTATATTTTTTTTAATTAAAAAAAATTTTTTTGTACCGGGGATAGAACTTGGGGCCTTCTGCTTGTGAGGCAGGTGGCGGAACCACTGAGCTAAATTCCCGTCCTCTAGCTAGTTTTAGATGACCATCTACGTGGCCTTGGGTAGGTTCCTTTTCTTCTCTGAGACTCTGACTCTTCTAAGGATTAAATATGGTAATATAGCAGGTTTGCAATGTCTCTGCTTTTCAAAGCTATGGAGCCCTATTTTCAAACAAACCTTTAGTGAAAACCCCTGCTATGTGAGTAGTGATAAAGGCCAAGAGGCTCTAGGTGGATGCTGGTAGGAGTGGGCACCAGAGTCCTGACTGCTGGGCCTCATCTGTGCCCACGAAGGGGAACATATCGTGGAACCACCGTGATTGTGAAACACCTTGATTGTGGGCAGCCCCCTGTATAGGGAGTGGAGATTAGGAAACAACATCAGGTCTAGGACTTGGCTGGGTCAGTGCAGTCCAGTCTAGCGCAACATTGTAAGGTACCATGAGAGTTAGTAATATGGGATTCCTGCCTGATGGAGAATGGAGAGTATGGGCAAAGGCTTCCTTGAAAAGACTCACTTCCTCTCTTCCTCTTCTAATCTTAGGCCGAGCTGGTGCTGTCCCCTGCCACACCTAGCAATTTTCCGACTTCCGTTTGTTTCTGATCTCCAGGTGAGGACTTTGTGGTTGGCAGCATCACTTCTGTTTTTAGCAACCGTGCAGTTGTAAAGTACAGTCGTCTGGAGGACGTACTGCACGGCTGCTCTTGGACAGTCAACAACAAGCTGGATGGGACATACTTGCCCTTGCCTGTGGACAGGATCATCCAGCGCACAAAGAAGATGATCAATAAGACTGTGCAGTACAGCCTGATTGAGGGGAACTGTGAGCACTTCGTCAACAACCTCAGATATGGTGTTCCCAGGAGCCAGCAGGTGTGTCCCTGGCCTGCTTGTGGCTCCTTGTGGAACTTTCTTGGGCTGTGTCAACTCCTCAGTCACCAGGACAGCCATCACTCGTCCTACCATGTTTCTTGCTGTGCTCCTTTTCTTGCAGACCTGGGTAGTTCAGGAGGTATCTACCCCTCCATTTCCCCTTGAAGGAATAGAAAAAGCACTGGATTAATAGGAAGCCTGCCTGGTTGGAGTCCCAGATCAGTCATTGTTGAGGGTGGTTTCCTTGGCAAAGGTGCTGTTTCTGAGATTGTTTCTTCCTTTACAAAGTGGGGATAGATGGAGGTAGATACTTTGTCACAAAAGTTGCACACTTGGAGCATTGGGGTATCTTGGATATACTATTGTTTTTTGAGTTTGAGTTACTTGGCAACTTTAAAAAACAAATTTAAAAGAAAAAGATCTGGATTCCCAACTTGTCTTGAATGACCAATGGATCATGCTGTTGAGCCAGCATTTCTGCTCCTGGCCTCTCAGGCCTGTGCTGTGGCTTTGTGTGCTGTGGCACTGTGGACCATTATTGTTCCACTCACTCCTGCCCAGCCCATCTGTGCTGCTCTGGGCTGCTCTCCCCCATGAAGGGCAGAGAGAAACCAAGTGTGGTGCATAGTGTGTGTTAAAGGGCCCTGAAAGCCTGCATATCTGTAGCAGTTTGGGCTGGTCTTGCTAATGGGGCCTCCTTGTTAAAACTGAATGCCATGAGCAGAGGAAGTTAGCAAATAGATGAAAAAAGCTGAGGATTAAAGGTGGACCATACTGTTTCTGTGGGTCTACTCCATATTTTTCTTACGTGCTGTGAGCAGACTGGGCTTATACTGCCCTACCCTGTTGGTCTTCTCCCTGCTGTTGTGCATCGGCAGCTTCCACTCACTCCCTCTCCGCCTTTGCTTTCTGCGTCTTCCCCCTCAGTGCTCTGCACTCTTTGCTCACCTGAATCCCATCCTTGTGAGGCCTTGAACCAGGGCCAGGGGCTTAGTAAGCACTGGTATTTGTCTGTGAATAGAAGACCCAAGGCTTGAGGGCACAACTGGGAAGAACCCTGGGCCCAGGAGCCACAAGGCACAACCCAGAACTGAGCTTAGATACCAACTCATTGTGTGATTCTGTTCAAGTGAGTTCCCCTGGCTCAGAGTCCCTGTTGTAGAATGAGGGCCTCAGTGGCAGAGGTAGATGATTTGTAGAGACCCTTTGCCTCTGAGCCTGCCTGGGGGCAGAGCCTGTGGGGATGGTTCTGAGGAAGGAAGAGGACCTTCCTGAGGTGGAAGATGCCTCCCTGGGGAAAGGAAGCTAGCAGCCTTGGAAGTCCGTCTTCCTCAATCCAAGTTTCTCTTGGTCTCCTGCAGTTATAGTGTTTTGGAAAGAGGACAGCACAGGCTGGCTCCTTCTCTAGAATTCCAGCAGGCTGGCCTGGGGGGAAATGGTGGGGTGGAAGGCAAACTGGGAAGAGAACTAACTATCCAGCTAACTGATGTGCTTTGCAGGTGGAGCACGCCCTGGTGGAAGGAGTGAAGGCTGCAGGCATGGTGATCTCAGTGGCAGTAGACAGCATGAGGCCGGAACCACTAACTGCCTGAAGGAGCTGCAAGCTCCAAGTAGGGAAGAGCTGCTGAAGAGAACATGCTCTTGTTTTTCCCTTACCCTCTTCTCTCAGTCACTGTACTTAAAGAAAACTGAACTTCTGGAAACATCTAGAATGTATCAAATTACTCTTTTGGTAATACATACAATGTATGAGACCCATGGACCCACAGGTTGGGAAGAACAGATATCTGTTATGTATCTATTATGACCCAAACACTGTGTTCAGTGTTTCATACACTTACTTTTTCTCACTGTAGGAAGAAGCCTTGCTTTTACAGCTCTGGGCTCTAGGCTGTGGGTGCCCATGGCCCTCCACGTTACAGCTCTTAGTAGTTCCCAGCTGCTTGGCAGCCAAGGTTCACTGCCCCCTTGGAAGCTCTCTGCAGTCTTTCTAGTAGCTCCCACTGCTTCTGTGGGACTCTCTGCAGGTCTCCACTTGTCCCTGCCAAATGCCATGGGTCTTTGTGAGTTAAATTTTTTTTTTAAATTTTATTGAGTTTATTGGTACATTTTAGGGATACAGTACAGTTACATTCATTGTTGGGATCATGTACCTTTACATGGCAAGTCTTGATTCTCATTTTTTCCCCTTACCTCTGCCCTCCCTTCACCCCCTCCTCCCCTCCCCATCTACAAACACTTTATTTTCATCTTTTCATTCTCTCACATTTTTTTCTTTTCCCTTTTTGTTCTTCCCCTACGTATCACACCTTCCCTACACCTTTAGCTCCTTTCTTCAAATTTCTAAATGTCAGTAATCTTATTAGAATCTTATGCATTGTTGCAGAATATTCACACCAGGGAAACTATTTGGTATTTACACATGTGTGACTTATTTATTTCACTTAGGAGTATATCTTCAATATGTATCCATTTTCCTATGAATGAATCTATTCTCTCGCTCTTTATGGCTGAGTAATATTCCATTTTATAGAAAAACCACAACTTCTTTATCCAGTTTCCAACGGATGGGCAAATAGGTTGTTTCCAAGATTTAGCTATTACAAACTGTGCCGCTATAAACATGGGTGCACATACTTCTCTGTGATATGATTCTTTTAGTTCTCTTGGAAAGATACCCAACAGAGGGATGGCTGGGTCAAATGGAACCTCCAGTCCAAGCTCTTTGAGGTATCTCCATATTGATTTCCATAGTGGTTGCACTAGTCTGCACTCCCACCAACAATGGAGGAGGGTTCCTTTCTCCCCACAACCCCGCCAACATTTGTTATTGTGTGATTTCTTGATAGCAGCCATTCTTTGTGGGGTGAGGTGGAATCTCAGTGTTGTTTTCATCTGCATCTCTCGAATGACCAGTGATGTGGAACATTTTTTCATATATTTTCTTGCTGCTTTCACTTCTTTGTATGAGAAATGTCTGTTCATTTCGGATGCCCATTTTTGGATCGGGTCTTTATATTTGGGGGGACTGATTGTTTTGAGTTCTTTATATATCCTTGATAATAGTCCTTTGTCTGAGGTACAGCTGGTAAAAATTTTTTCCCACATTGTAGATTGTCTCTTAGTTCTGCTAATGGTTTCTTTTGAAGTACAGAAGCTTTTTAGTAAGATGAGATCCCAGTTGTTGATTCTTTCTGCTAGTTCCCGTGCTACTGAGGATTTGTTCATAAAGTCTTTTCCTATACCAATGTCTTCCAGAGTTCTGCCTAACTTACTTTCCAGCAAGTTTAATGTTTCTGTTTTAATATTTAGATCTTTAATCCATTTGGATTTTAATTTAGTGCATGGCGAAAGATAAGGGTCTAATTTTAATCTGTGACAGGTTGATATCCAGTTTTTCCAACACCATTTATTAAAGAGGCTATCTTTCCTCCACTGAGGATGGTGAGCTCCTTTGTCGAAGATGAGGTAGCTGAGTACATCTGCATTTGTTTTTGTGTCTTCCAGTCTGTTCCATTGATCCTCAGGCCTATTTCTTTGCCAGTACCATGCTGATTTTATCACAGTGGCTTTGTAGTATAGTTTCAAATTGGGAATTGTTACACCTGGTGCCATGTGACTGTTGCCTATAATGGCTTTTGCTATTCTAGGTCTCTTGTGGTTCCAAATGAATTTTTGGATTCTTTTTTCTAGTTCTGTGAAATATAGTGTTGGAATTTCAATTGGCATTGCATTGAATGTATATAGCAGTTTCGGTAGTATGGCCATTTTCACTATGTTGATTCTTCCTACCCAGGAGCAGGGGATATCTTTCCATTTTTTTATATCCTCTTCGATTTCTTTTTTCAGAGTGCTGTAGTTTTCAGTGTAGAGATCTTTTGTTTCTTTTGTTAGATTGATTCCTAGATACTTCATTTTTTTGGATGCTATTGTAAAAGGAATTTTTTCCCTTATTTCTCTTTCTGTCTGTCTGTTATTTGTGTATAGAAAGGCTATTGATTTTTGGGTATTCACCTTGTATCCAGATACTTTACTGAATCTGTCAATTAAGTCTAGAAGTTTTTTGGTGGAGTTTTTTGGATCTTCAATGTAGAGTATCATATCATCAGCAAATAATGATAGTTTAACTTCTTCCTTTCCTATCTTTATTGCTTTAATTTCTTTCTCTTGTCTAATTGCTGTGGCTAATGTTTCCAGAACTATATTGAAGAGAAGTGGCGATAGTGGGCATCCTTGTCTTGTTCCTGATTTTAACATGAAGGTTTTCAGTTTTTGGCCATTCAATATGATGTTGGCTGATGGTTTTTCATAAATAGCCTTTATTAAATTGAGGTATAGACCATCTATTCCAATTTTTTGCAGGGTTTTTATCATGAATGGGTGTTGAATTTTATCAAATGCTTTTTCTGCATCTATTGAGAGGATCATATGGTTTTTGTCCTTGACTTTGTTAATATAATGTATTACATTCACTGACTTTCGTATGTTGAACCACCCTTGCATCTCTGGAATAAATCCGACTTGGTCATGATGGATGATCTTCTTAATAATCCTCTGTATTCTGTTTGCTAGTATCTTATTAAGGATTTTTGCATCTATATTCATTAAGGAGATTGGTCTGTAGTTCTCCTTTTTGGTTGTATCTTTCTCTGGTTTGGGAATCAGAGTGATACTTGCTTCCAGGAATGAATTTGGAAGTATAGCTTCTCTTTCAATTTCATTGAAAAGTTTGAAGAGTAATGGTAGTAGTTCTTCTCTAAATGTCTTGTAAAATTCAGCAGTGAATCCATCAGGGCCTGGGCTTTTCTTTGTTGGTAAGTTTTTAATTACATTTTCAATTTCACTGATTGTGATTGGGGTGTTTAAAATGTTTTTATCTTCTTCGTTCAACTTTGGTAATTCATAAGTATCTAGAAATCTGTCCATTTCTTCTGTGTTTTCCATTTTATTAGAGTACAGGTTCTCAAAGTAGGTGTTCATGATCCTCTGGATTTCTTTCGGATCTGTTGTGACTTCGCCTTTTTCATTCCTAATTGCATGGATCTGAGCCTTTTCTTTCCTTTTTTTGATAAGATTAGCTAAGGGTTTGTCAATTTTATTTATTCTTTCAAAAAACCAGCTCTTTGTTTCATTTATTTTTTGTATCGTTTTCTTAATTTCAATTGCATTGATTTCTGCTCGGATCTTTATAATTTCCTCTCTTGTTCGAGCTTTGGGTTTTTCTTGCTCTTGTTTTTCTAGGAGTCTAAGTTTCATCGTTAAGTTGTTTATTTGAGCCCGCTCTGTTTTCCTAGTGTGGGCATTCAATGTTATGAATTTTCCACGTAGAACTGCTTTCATTGTGTCCCAAAGATTCCTGTATGTTGTATTGGCATTCTCATTTATTTGTAAAAACTGTCTAATTTCTTCTTTAATTTCCTCTGTAATCCATTGATTGTTTAGGAGAGTGTTGTTCAGTTTCCATGTGCTTGTGAAGTTTCTATAGTTTCTTGTGCTATTGATGTCTAGTTTGATTGCACTATGATCTGATAATAAACAGGGGATGACTTCAATTTTTTTGCATTTATTTAGACCTGTTTTGTGAGCCAGTATGTGGTCTATTTTGGAGAATGATCCATGTGCAGCCGAAAAGAATGTATATTCTGGTTTTTGGGGGTGGAATACTCTATAAACATCTATTAAGTCCATGTGTTCCAAAGCTTGGTTCAGTTCTATTATTTCATTGTTGATTTTCTGCCTAGTAGATCTGTCAATTTGTGATAGTGGGGTATTTAAATCCCCCACTACAATTGTATTAGTGCTTATTTGGTTTTTCATGTTACTTAATATTTGTTTTATATAGTTGGGGGCATTTATATTTGGTGCATATATGTTTATGATTGTCAGCTCTTCCTCTTGAATTGTTCCCTTTACAAGGATGTAGTGTCCTTCTTTGTCTCTCTTAATGAGTTTTGGTTTGAAATTTACTTTATCTGAGAATAAGATTGCTACCCCTGCTTTTTTCTGGACTCCTGACGCATGGAGAATTGTTTTCCATCCTTTCACTTTCAGTCTATGGACTTCCTTTTGCACTAGGTGTGTTTCTTGTATACAACATATTGTTGGATTTTGCTTCTTAATCCATTCTGCCAATCTGTTTCTCTTGATTGGTGAATTGAGGCCATTAACATTGATGGTTACAACTGATATATTTTGACTTATTCTTGTCATGTTTTTGTCCATTTGTTGACTCTTTTTACTTTTTCTCCCATCTCCTTTTAGTTTCTTGCCTTGCCTATTTGATTTGGTCTGTTGGGCCTCATGTTATTGTGAATTTCGTTGTCCTTTTCTAGGATATTGTTTAGAATTCCTTGCAGTGCTGGTTTGGTGTTCATGAAATTTCTCAGGTGCTCTTTGTCGTGGAAGTATTTTATTTCCCCATCTATTTTGAAAGAGAGTTTTGCAGGATACAAAAGTCTAGGTTGGAGATTCTTTTCTTTTAGGACTTGGAATACCTCACTCCAGGCTCTCCTTGACCTAAGGGTTTGTGTTGAAAAGTCTGCTGTGATTCTAATGGGCTTCCCTTTGCATGTGATTTGTTTCTTTTCTCTTACTGCTTGTAGTATTTTGTTTTTCTGTTGGATTTCTGGAATCTTGATTATTATATGTCTAGGTGTAGATTTTTTTTGATCGTGGCTAGTTGGG